AAATATACTTTAGTGAATACAATCATGCTTCTATATTAACAAGGGCATATTCTGAGAAATGTATCAGGTAATTTCATTGCTGTGTGAACATCATAGAGTATACTTACATAAACCAAGATGTGTAATCTCTATATAGCTAGTTATATGGGATAGCCTATTACTCCTACACTACAAATCTGAACAGCATGTTACTATACTGAATACTGTAGGCAATTGTAAAACATAGCTGAGTATTTGTTTCTAAAAATATCTAAAGATAGAAAAGGTATGGTAAATATGTGGTATAAAAGTGTTTTTTTAAAATACTATACCTTATCAGACACTATGAATGGAGCTTTCAAGACTGTAATTTTCTCTGAGTGAATGAATAGTGAAAGACTATAAAGGCCAAGGACATTACTGTAGACTGTGAACACTGCACTTAAACTATATCAAATTTATTTAAAAATTTCCTTCTTTAATAACAAATTATAGCAGTCTTACTTTATACATTTTTAAGTTTTAAACTTGACTCTCTTAATAACAGCTTAAAACATAAACACATGGTACAATCATATGAAAATATTTTCTTTATGTCCTTGTTCTATAAGATTTTTCTATTATTACTATTTTTACCTTTGAAAATTTTTGTTAAAAACCAAAAAGCATGCAGATCATCCCAGACCCACACAAGACTAGGATCATTAATATCAGTGTCTTCCACATCCACATCTGTCTCACTGGAAGGTCTCCAGGGGCAACAGCATGTGTCAACAGTCATCTCTTCTGGTAACAATGCCTTTACCTGAAGGATCGGTCTGAGTCTATTTTACAGTTAACTTTTGTTTTATATAAGTAGAAGGGGTACACTCTAAAATAACAATAAAAAGTATGTGTATGGGGGCTGGGACTGTAGCTCAGTGGCAGAGTTTGATCCTTAGTACTGCATAAAAATAAACAAATAAAATAAAGGCATACTGTCCATCTACAACTACAAAAATTTTTAAAAAAGTATCCGTGGTAAATACATAAGCCAGTAACATAATCATTTGTTATTATTATTGAGTATTATATACCGTGTATAATTGTGTGTGTTGTCCTTTTACATGACTGGCAATGTATCAGATTTGTTTACATCAGCATCACCATAAACATGAGTAATACGTTGTGCTAAGATTTTGTGATGCCTACAACATCCCTAGATGATAGGAAATTTTCAGCTTCATTATAATCTTATGAGACCACCCTCGTGTATGCAGTGTGTTGCTGATCAAAATATCCTTATGCAGCACATGACTCAAATACTGGAAAATGCAGCGAGTGAATTGATTGGGTAATATTCAAATAACATTTTTATCTCCTAGCGACAGCAATAGTATTACACAGAGTCATATGTTGAAACTGCCAATTTAGAGACTTATCTTGCTTCCAAGACTTATTTCTGGAAGTATCTTTCATGTGTGTAAATTTATGACATTCATTTTATTTGCAAGAACAACTCCCCAGCAGCCCCAGGAACACACACTTAAAACAAGGCAATAGTTAAAAGCAAGATTGACTGATTAGATCTTAACTGCTTCTCTTTCTTAAGCTCTTGCCCTGCTTTCCAGCAATGTTTACTTAAATCTTGAAATTATTAGCATTTCCTCTTTCTTTTACTTGGTGTCAGTGTACTTCTTTGAGCCCGTAATAACACTTTGTTGATTGTTAAGGTTAATTTTCTCCTTTATATTATTTGACACCTTTGAAACAAATCAACTGAACAGGTACATGCATGTGATCTATTTTGGACTCTGTTCTATAGTTTATATATATCCTATTTGTCTCTTTTTTTCCGACACCAAACTGTTTTGCTTATATAGTTACATTAGATGGCTTGGAATCAGGTAGGGAAAAATCTTCCAGACCAATGAACCTTGGTCATTCTAGGTTCTTTGCATTTCCATATGGATTTTAGAATCATCTTGTCAATTTCTATAAAATAGCTTGCTGGAATTTTCCTTAAGAATGGGTAGAGTCTATAAATGAACTTGGTTAAAAACTGACATCCTAATAGAATTAAGCATTGCAATTGATGAACACAGTGTATCTTTTCATTAATTTAGATCTTTAAAAAAACAGAATCGGCATTCTCAAGCACATAAAATATGCCAGGCACAGTAATGAGTGCTCTATATTTATCATATTAATTAAAATTCACCATTCCATTTATTAGACAATTCAACATAAAATAAATGGAGAGGGGGAAAGAGTAAATAATTTCCTAGAGGTTGGTCAGTAAGTAGAATACAAGGGAATTTGGGACCCCATTAGTGTGACTCCAAAGCCTAGCTTTTTTTTCATTTATGGGTCTGAATAACTCAGCTCTAAATAGAATTAAGTGAGGGAGAGAAGGCTATCCTTTATGCCTATAAGCCTTCCCATGACTCAGATTGTCCGAACAATCACACATTGTAAACTCTCACCACCGCCATAAGTTCAATGTTATAGTAAGGAGCTAATGTTAAATTGTGTGGCAGCAAATGGGCATTAGAGATTATATTTTTCAAATTGCACTTGAGAATTGAGTGTGCCAATTATACTTTAGGCATCTATCTACTTTGTCTACAACACTTGAGATTCAGGCTAATGAACAGCAAAAAATTGTTGTATGCCATTACAAGAAAAGATAATTCCATTTATAAATTGCTGTTGAAAACTGATCTCTGTCTGACAGCTCTTTTTTAGGCAGGGGCAGAGGGAGGGTGGAATACCAGGGATTGAACTCAGGAACACTTGCCCACTGAGCCACATCCCCAGCCCTGTTTTGTATTTTATTTAGAGACAAGGTCTCACTGAATTGCTTAGTGCCTCATTTTTGCTAAGGCTGGCTTCCTGAGCCGCTGGGATTACAAACATGCGCCACAGCTCGGGGCCTCTGACAACTCTTGATACAATTTCCGGAATATCCTTCTAAGGAAATTTACTGGCATTTACAAACTTACCTGTGGCCCCCAATAACGAAAATTTAAAAAATAAATAAATAAAGCAAATCCAAAATGATTGTAATTAAAATCAAAGTTCCTGATAAGGAGTAGAGTAAGGTTTAATTCATGAAAAAAAAAAAAAAAAGTTACAGTTCAAAGTCTACTTCAGGTGCTTCTAATCACATTGCTTCTAAGAGGCTCCCAGGGCTCTTCCCACTGCCCAGCCTAGAGAAGAGTACAATTTATAGTCTCATTTTCATGGTACTTGTCTGAAGAACCAAGGAGGGCACAAGGCTCAGGCTTGATGTCTTATACTTCAGAATTTCACCTTCTACGCCAAAATCAGAATGACAGGCCTTGGAATGCTAGGTGCTGTTCATCCAATATCGGGTCTAAGTCCTGCAATCACTGGAGAGGAATGGACCAGGAGGAGTGGCCCTGGCCCCTAGGAGGCCCGAGCCCAGGCACCTGCACCTCACCATGGAGTAGGGTTGTTTACTATGAAAGCAAGGGGCGTAAGGAGAGAGGGTGCCAGAGCACTCGGACAGCTGGACAGCCGCGGAGTCCTTCAGAGGGTTGCTTTGTGCACCCGCCTTGCTAAAAGGCTGCCCCAGAAAGGGCGTGGAAAAGAAGCTGAGCAGTGGGGAGGAGGGTCACGGGTTAAAGCGGCCAGGGGAGGGAGGATGCCAGGCTCACGTTGGACTCTGGGCGGAGCGGAGCCTCAGAGGCTGCTCGGGTAATGCGCTGACATGCAACACGCCCCAGCTGCTGAGCAGATTTGACGCCTCCTCGCCCAGTCGCTCCGTTGTTCCCCACTGGGCGCCCCCTCCTCGCGCCGGGAGCCACAGGTGAGCCGCACCAGGTGCCACCCGGAGGCATTAGGTGTCGTGGGAACAGCGCTTCGCGCGCACGGAGGGACCACTGTGTGGCGAGCTGTAGGTGACGCAAAGCTGGAGGACAGGGCTTTTGATGCCATGGAAGGCACAGAGGTGGGAGCGGGGTGCGAGATGCAGCTGTTTGGCACAACGCCAGTTCCATCGCTGGCTAAAGGTCAGTTAGTAGCACGCGCGGGCTGGGGGTGGGATCCCGGCCCCCCGGGTCGCGTGGGTTTGGCGCGCCTGGCCCGGGTTAGCCCCAGGTGGTAGCTTCGGCGGGTGAGCTCTGCCCCTCAGCTCCTGCCAGGCCTCCGCCCACTCAAAAGCCAGGGTCCAGAACTCCAGACCCAGACTCTCTACCCTGAGAGGCTGCACCCTGCATTGCCTGCCTGGAGCTCGGAGGTGGTCTTGAAGTTGCTCAGCCTGCTGCTATTAACTCGGATTGTCCCTTTAGTAGAGGCATGTGGTCAGGGAATGGAATTGGGTCTACAGTGAGTCTCGGTCCTGGCGGAAAACAGCTGCCAGGGGAGCTTTAGCGGGCTAAAGAGCTTAGGAGCTCACGGGCCAGGCTGACTGCTCTGGGTCAGCGCGCGGCATCTCTGCAGGGCCTGTCTCCCACCTCCTACCACCTCACAGAGGAGTAGCAACGCTTGTTGCTGAAGTTTTGTGTCAGGTGAAATTGGAAAGGTTGAATCACTTTGTCACCAACTCAGAGGCTTTCACCATTTTCCCAGATTCCCTATCTCTAATTTCCTGCAGCTCAATCCAGTTAAGCCTCTGACAGCTGTAAATAAATAATTTACATGTTTCAGAGCGTGCTTCATACCTGGGATAGACTTTTTTGTTGTTGTTATTTTATTTTTTAAATACATGACAGCAGAATGCATCACATTTCTTATTACACATATAGAACAATTTTTTCATATCTCTGTTTGTATATAAAGTATGTTCACACCAATTCTTTTGATGGGGTCCTGTGCATACCTTGCACTCCTAGTGCCTTCCGAGTAGATGCAAAAGGTAGCTGCCAAAGCGCCTTCTGCTGCTGGGGATTCCAGCAATTTGCAGTTAGCAAACTGCACCCTCAGGAGAGTTTTTGAGACAGGGTAGAATTAACGTTTGCAGCTAATTGAATGAACCTCCTGTCTTTGTGAGTGTAATGTTTGCTTCTGGAGCAACTTGGTGCGATGTGCTAAATAAATTAATGGTGGTTGGCTCATGTTCTCTCTGTTCCTGTGGGTTATTGTTACACGGTGTGTGGCTGCCTTGTCTAAGGTTTCATCTTCTCTGTATCAAAACGGAAAGAGCTTAATGTGCTCTTAAATCTGTAGTCCATAAAAATATTATTAGCAACTTCGTTTTTATGTTGGTATTCATATGAAAATTTTATCAGCATAAATCATCTTTGTAATAAGTCCCATAGTAAAAGTCTTCTTAAATTTGCTGGCTCAAATAGTTTACTTTTTAAAAAGAAAAAATTAAATGTTTTGTTTGAAAATACAAGATATTAACTTTTTTCTCTCTCTTTTGTCTTAATCTAAGAATTATTCCTCATCATTACATTTTATCCACAAACATAAGAGCCACACTTTAATAAGTTCTATCACAATTACTTCATTTTGAAGGTACTGCATATGCTACCTGGTAAACATGCTTCATACTTTATTCATTCAGCAGTATCCTTATTAATGTTTCTTATTAATCAAGAGTTTTAAAAATGTTCCCCATGGCTAGTTTTTATAACCAACAACTATTTCTTGGAAGTATTTGGTTTGCCAAGAATGTTGGAATGCAAGTCAAATGTGGTTTTTAGACTTAGAAAAGAGTGTGGTACCTAAATTGTGACTTGCCAGGTAGTATATAAATGTAGGTTGTATTATTCCCCCTTCATTGCTGTTTGTATAAGCTATGAAAACAACAAACAACCAGTCTTTCTATTCTGTATGGAAGGATTTTACTCTCTTGGTGGTTTGGGATATTTTATTTTGAACAGGTTTCCATAGTATCAAAATTAGTTTGAGGGAAAATCCAAGATAGCTCCCAATCTTTGGAGTGACTTTCTCCATCACTTTGGAAAAGCCACCTCACCCTTTTCAAAGTGACAAAAGAAACAATAGATATCAAATACTTTGAAAAGCAAAGTGTATTATGTAAATATAAGGTCTTCAGTGAAAAGCAGAAACAAGTGATGGGGCTAATTGGGAATTGGACTGCAACTGAGTAACTGCTCTTCCCTTTGTAGAACATCTCAGTTCCCTGAGATTCACAATGCTCTGAGGAACCTTATTGGCTGTTTAGAAAACTGCCCTATCTGCTGAGGGTAGAGGGGTAAGCAGAGGTAGACATTATGCCAGAGCTTTATTCGCATTTTTATTTAATGCTTGTTATAATCATATGAGGGTAGATATCATTATTTCTATTTTACAGGACAGGAAACTGAGATTCAGTGTGTCTGAGTGATTTGCCCCAAGTCACACAAGTATCAAATTATAGAATAGAAACCAAACCAGATCTTGCTTCTCTACTGTACACTCTATTACCTGCCACTTAGCGCTTTTAAACTTGAAAAAAAATTTTTTAAATTAAAGTTTTAGTTTCTCCCCAGAGGAAAAATGACCATATCCACATATACATAAAATGTTGCATGTAATTTCAAAGTCCACCTACCCTCTGAAGTTTTTTTTTTAATTCTAATTTGCTATGTATGACAGCAGAATGTGTTACAATTCATATTACATATACAAGCACAATTTTTCATACCTCTGGTTGTATATAAAGTATATTTACACCATTCGTGTCTTCATAAATGTACTTAGGGTAATGATATCCATCTCATTCCACCATATTTTTTACCCTCAAACCCCCTCCTTCCCCTTCTACCCTCTTACCCTATCCAATGTTTATCTATTCCTCCCAGGCCCCGCCTCCCAACCCCACTATGAATCAGCCTCCTTACCAGAGAAAACATTCAGCATTTGGTTTTGGGTGATTGGCTAACTTACTTAGCATTATATTCTCTAACTCCATCCATTTACCTGCAAATGCTATGATTTTATTCTCTTTTATCGCAGAGTAATATTCCATTGTGCATATATACCACATTTTCTTTATCCATTCATTTACTGAAGGGCATTTAGGTTGGTAAACAGTTAAGCTGTTGTGAATTGTGCTGCTGTAAACATTGATGTGGTATGCTGTTTTTAAGTTTTAAAACTGTAGTATGCTGTTTTTAAGTCCTTTGCGTATAGATCAAGGAGTGCCATAGCTGGGTCAAAAGGTAGTTCCATTCCCAGTTTTCCAAGGAATCTCCATACTGCTTTCCATATTGGCTGCACCAATTTGCAGTTCCACCAGCAGTGTATGAGTGTATCTTTCTCCTCACATCCTCACCAACACTTAATGTTGTTTGTGTTCTTAATAGCTGCCATTCTGAATGGAGTAAGATGAAATCTTAAGAGTAGTTGTGATTTGCATTTCTCTGATTGCTAGAGATGTTGAACATTTTTCATATATTTGTTGATTGATTGTATATCCTCTTCTGAGAGGTGTCTGTTCGGTTCCTTGGCCCATTTATTGATAGGGCTATTTGTTTTTTTGGTGTTTAGCTTTTTTGGGTTCTTTTTATACTCTAGAGATAAGCGCTCCACCTGATGTGCAAGTGGTAAAAATTTGCTCCCAGGATGTAGGCTCTCTATTCACCTCACGGATTGTTTCTTTTCCTGAGAAGAAGTTTTTTAGTTTGAGTCTATCCCATTCTTGATTTAAATTCTTATGCTATAGGAGTCTCATTAAGGAAGTTGGGGCCTAATCCGATATGATGGAGATTTTGGCCTACTTTTTCTTCTAATAGGCTCAGTGTCTCTGGTTTAATTCCTAGGTCTTTGATCCACTTTGAGTTGAATTTTGTGCATGGTGAGCGATAGGGGTTTTATTTCATTTTGTTGCATATGGATTTCTAGTTTCCCCAGCACCATTTGTTGAAGAAGCTGTCTTTTCTCTAATGTATGTTTTTGGCACCTTTGTCTAATATAAGAAAACTGTAATTATGTGGGTCAGTCTCTGTGTCCTCTATTCTGTACCATTGGTCTGCCAGTCGATTTTGGTGCCAATTCCTGACTTTTTCCAGTTTTTAGGTAGAATGCTTTCAATTTTTTTCCCATCTAGAATGGTGTTGGCCTTAGGCTTAGCATAGATAGCTTTTATGATGTTGAGTTTTTTAAAAATTTTATTTACTTCTTTATTTTTATATGGTGTTGAGGATCAAATCCAGGGCCTCACACTGCAAGAAAAGCACTCTACCACTGAACTACAGCCCCAGCCCTGGGTGTTGTATTTTGTTGAATACTTTTTCTGCATCAATTGAGGTGATTATTTGATTCTTATCTTTAAGTCTATTGATGTGATGAATTACATTTATTGGTTTCCGAACCAACCTTGCATCCCTGGGACCAACCCCACTTGATCATGGAGCACTATCTTTTTGATGTTTTTGTATTCAATTTGCCAGAATTTTATTGAGAATTTTTGCATCTATGTTCATTAGGGATATTGGTCTAAAGTTTTTTTTTTTTCCTTTGATGAGTCTTTGCCTAGTTTTGGAATCAGGGTGATATTGGCCTCATAGAATGAGTTTGGAAGTACTCCCTCTTTTTCTATTTCACAAAAGAATTTGTATAGTATAGGTATTAGTTCTTTTTTATAGGTCTTGTAGAACTCAGCTGTGTATCCATCTGGTCCTGGGCTTTTCTTGGTTGGTAGGCTTCTAATGACATCTTATATTTCCTTGCTTGAAATTGATCTGTTTAAATTGTATATATCATCCTGATTCAATTTGGACAACTCATATCATATGCCTCTATAAATTTGTTGGTGCCTTCCATATTCTCTATTTTATTAGAGTACAAGTTTTCAAAATAATTTCTAATTATTTTTTGTATTTCTGTAGTGTCTGTTGTGATATATATATATATTTT